GGTCCACCATGATGAGTGATGGAGACAATAGGAGAGATGGAGAATAACAGAGAAAGGGAAAGAAACACAAGCAAATGGAAAGGGAAGAAAACACCCACTAAAGGAAAGAGACAGATGGAGGTGGAAAGGGGTAAGGTGGACATGGAGAGAGATGGGAAGTGACAGGGACAGAAGGTGAGGCAGGCAAGGAGAGACAAAGACAGAGATAGAAGGATGATGGACAAAAGGTAGAAAGAAATAGAAAGATACAATGAGGGAGGGAGAGAAAAACAGACAATGAGAAAGAAAAAGAGGGAAATCGATAGAAAAAGACAGGTGGAAAGATGTCAGGGAGATGGAGAAGAAGACAGAAGTGAAGAGAGAAGACAGAAACACAGGGAGATGGATGGAAAGGGAGAAAGAGACAGACAGAGATGGATCAAGGAAGAGAAATGGAGACAGACAGATCTGGAGAGAAACTGATTAAAGATGAGGAAGAGAAGACAGAGGAGGCCTCTGGTTCCTGGCCATGGCCCAGTCCCTGTGGCTTCCAGGCACCTGATCAAAGAAACACTGTCCCTTGATATCAACTCCAGACCTACATATGTCCTGCTGCTGCTCCTTGCTAGCATCTGGCTTCCGTAGGGGAGAACTCGAGGGAAAATTCTGTTTGCCAGGCTTCTTCCCTGGACTCTTCTCCATCCTCCTTCCTCTGCAACTGTGCTCCCCTCCAACCCATCTCATCTTCATCCTCTGCCCCTCTGCTGGTCACCCTGGCTTCTACCTTTCGTCTCTCTCTCTCTCTCCCTCTCCCCCCTCCCCTCCAAGCTTGAGGAACCCAGGTGGGACTAATTGAGATCCCCAGAGATTCCAGGCACTGCTCAGGACCCCAGCCATAAAAGACTGAGTGACCCTGAAGACCTCCAAACCCTACCCATAGCCAGAATAGATGGATGTCCCTAAAGGAGGAAAACCTGCCCCCAAAGCAGGTGAAATCCAAAAACTCTCACAACTGGAACAGCTGTATGAGTCATCCCACCCAAGGACTTTAGATGCCCACTACCTCCAATTGATGGAAGACTCTTTATTATAGTTCTCTGCCCTGAGGTCCAAGGAATTAGTCTCTGGACAAACAAGTCTATGTGAAGAGAAACAAATACTTGAACAAGTGTACAAGACTAGAGGGCTACATTCTGAAAATGAGGAAGAATTTTGATTGGAGAGGATGATTAGGCCATCATTCTTTATTTTAAGGCCCCTCCTAATTCGGACATCCTCTGTTCTGAGGCCCCTCCCAGTTCTGACATTCCCTGTTCTAAGGCCCCTCCCAGCTCTGACCTTCCCTGTTCTGAGGTCCCTCCCAGACCTGATACTCCCTGTTCTAAGGCCCCTCCCAGCCCTGACCTTCTCTGTTCTAAAGTCCCTCCCAGCCCTGATACTCCCTGTTCTAAGCCCCCTTCAAGCCCTGACATCCCCTGTTCTAAGGACTCTCCTAGCTCTGACATTTCCTGTTCTAAGGCCCTTCCCAGCTCTGACCTTCCCTGTTCTAAGGCCCCTCCCAACCCTGACCTTCTCTGTTCTAAGGTCCCTCCCAGCCCTGATACTCCCTGTTCTAAGCCCCCTTCAAGCCCTGACATCCGCTGTTCTAAGGATTCTCCCAGCTCTGACATTTCCTGTTCTAAGGCCCTTCCCAGCTCTGACCTTCCCTGTTCTAAGGCCCCTCCCAGCCCTGACCTTCTCTGTTCTAAGGTCCCTCCCAGCCCTGATACTCCCTATTCTAAGCTCCCTTCAAGCCCTGACATCTCCTGTTCTAAGGACTCTCCCAGCTCTGACATTTCCTGTTCTAAGGCCCCTCCCAGCCCTGACCTTCCCTGTTCTAAGGTTCTTCCCAGCTCTGACATTTCATGGGCGATTTTGTGGGGTTTTTTTTTTATATACTTCAGTGACCATTTTATTGACCTTTTAATAGAAAACAGGACTTTATTTGCCAGGAAGGATGATGCCATTGCACTTCTGCTGGTACTAGCACATGGCTTCCTCTCTGCCAGCTCTGGGTTTGGCCCTCATGCTGCCTGTCCTGTGGGCTTGTCTGTGATGCTGAACCCAAGCCTCCCAGCCCCACGCAGACACCCAAGCCACAGACGTCGATGCTTTGGCTGTATTTAATCCCCGGACTGATCTGGTCTTGGAGCCCAGAGCCACGGATGTCTGAGAAGTTATTTTTCCTGACTGTACTCTCACTTCTTCAGCCTCTTCTTCTCCAGAATCTCTCCAGCTTTGGCTCCAGGGATCACAGAGTAAACTGGCATCTGCTCATTCCAAAAGATCCAACAGTATATTGGGGTTTGGCCTGGGAGCTGCTCCAATGCTCTGGCTGCCGGGGCAGCTAGGCCCCACTGTTCTCAACACAGATGTGGAGGCAGAGCTCTCAGAGGCTCAGTTCCCAAATGGGGTTTTGCTTTTCACCCTGATCTTGTGCCATGGTGGCAAACCAGAAGAAAGGACATTCCCTGTTCTAAGAGCCTTCCCAGCCCTGACATCCCTTGTTCTAAGAGCTCTGACATTCCCTGTTTTAAGGCCCCTCCCAGCCCTGACATCCCCTGTTCTAAGACCCCTTCCAGCCTTCACCTTCTCTGTTCTTTTTTTTGGGGGGGGGGGGTTAGGCAATTGGGGTTAAGTGACTTGCCCAGGGTCACACAGCTAGTAAGTGTCAAGTGTTTGGTCTGACATCAGATTTGAACTCAGGTCCTCCTGACTTCAGGGCCGGTGCTCTATCCACTGTGCCACCTAGCTGCCCCGACCTTCCCTGTTCTAAGAGCTCTCCCAGACCAATATTTCTGAAGGCACGAGTAATCAGATGAGCATCCCATGCAGCACAACAGTGAGGTGAAAGATCACTGAAATCTATGTCAGGAGGCCTGGGTTCAAATCCTCCGTCTGACTCTTGATCACTATGTATCATTTCACCACTTACGCAGTTGGCTGAATTGCTGTGGGGGAAGAGTTTTGTAAACATAATAGGGAGGGACACTGTTGGCCTCATACACAGGGGACCTTCATAAGGCAGCATCTCCCTGGCCACAGTTTCCCCAGGGCCCACATTTCCTGTTCTAAGGTGCCCGTACCAGACTGTGAGCTCCCTGAGGGCAGGACTTCTTTGACGTGGTGCCTGCCCTCATGGAGTTTACAGTCTACATGCAGTTCTAATATTCACAGATAAATAGGCTACAAGGTAGGGAGTGCTTGGGAGCTCCTCCTCAGCTTTCCTTCCCTCATCCCCCGTCATCATTGACTACAAACATTCTATCCCTGCCCAAATCCTCCTGGAGCCATTGTCTCCTTTCACTCTTTACCTTGGATTACATCTATCTATTGAAAGTGCTATATTTCCTCCCCTCTTCCACCCAGACAGTAAGCTCCTGGAGAGCAGGGATTGCGCATTGCTAGTGCCAAGCACAACCTTCCATATATAAGCAGCACTTAACAAGTGTGTGCTGAATGAATGTAGAATACATTGAGTGCCACATGTATCCACACACGTATTCATGTATGTAAACCCATGAGGATCAACATATACTTGTACAGGGTCCTCTAAGGTGGCCCTCGCTCCTCCCCAGGTTCATAAACTCATGTATCCACAGCAGTGAGGGACCCAGAGGTCCTCTAGTCCAACCGCCTCATCTTACAGACAGAAAACTGAGACCTACAGAGGTTAAATAATTTCCCTAAGGTCCTGCGATGGGATTGAAATGGGGCCAAATCAGGCTCTACCCTCGCTGGGTGCAGATTCTTACATTCTCATCAGGTCCCAGAGAGATCAATGCAGCCAACTCTCCAACATCCACCCTGGCAGGAGAACATAGCAACATGGCCTGGGTCTGACCAAAAAGCCAATCCGAATAATCCCCAAATCACTGCATCATGAAATAACCTCATCAACAGAATCAGGGAATCAAGGGAATCACAAATCATCAAGCTGAGAGAATTTTAGAAATCATTAAATCTGGGAATCAATAGAATCTGAAAAATCTCAAATCACTAGAATTTTAAAGCCACAAATCCTGGAATCAATGAAATATGAAAATCATCAAGTCAATAGAATTTTAAACTCACAAATCCTGGAATCAATGAAATATGAAAATCATCAAGTCAACAGAATTTTAAAGTCACAAATCCTGGAATCAATAGAATCTGAAAAACCATCAAATCACTAGAATTTTAAAGCCACACATCCTGGAATCAACAGAATCTGAAAATCATTCAATCAATTAAAATCACAAATACTGGAATCCATAGCATCCGAAAATCATGGAATCGGCAGAATTGCACAATGAATCACAGAATCAGCATTTTAAAGCTGACCATTTCCCCCGCAAGGCCCCATCAGCATCTCAAACTGAATACTTCCAAAACTGAACTCAGCATTTTCCTCCTCGCTCTCTCCCAACTTCTCTTTTTCCACAGAAGGTTCCTTGGTCTTCCCCGTTTCCCAGACTCTCAACTTTGGAGTCATCTCCGACTGTCTTTGAAGACCTCAATGACCATGTCAGTGTAGACAGCGCTCATCCCACATCACACCTGATGGGCTGCAGGCCCCTCAAACTCACCCCATCTCAGATGGAGTCTCCCCAGACTTCTTCCCTAACCATCTGTCTCTCACGGCGCCACCAAACCCCCCCCCCGACTCAGAATTTTGGAGTCATCTCTGACTCCTCCAGGATCCTTACCCACCTCATGACCTCAGTAGCCACACTGTATCATTCCAGGTTCCAAATTCTCTCTCCCCTTCATCCCTCCCTCTCCTCTCCAGCTGCCCCCACCTGCTCCAGACCCTTACTGTCTCCCACCTGTTCTACTGCTCCCTCTCATTGCCTCCTGGCTTCTGTGATGCTGCAGCCCAGGACAAGAAGACAAGAGCCAGGAGGCCAGACCACAAGAGAGCCCAGCTCCTACCTGTTTGGAGGAAGCCCGGGGTGGGTTGATGGGTCGGTGGTCAAGAGGGAAAGAGCCTCAAAGGATATGGATTACACACCATCTTGATGCACCAGTTTCGAGGGCTGGTGGTTTGCCGGAGACAAAAAAAGACCACGGGGGCCAGGTCCGGGTGCGGGATGTCAGGGTCAATGCTGGGGCCTGGCTCCTGGGCCGGTGAGGAGGGTGGTGTCCGTGGCTGGGGCTGCTGCTCCGTGACTCCAGACTCCGAGGCAAGATCCGGGGCTGAAGACACAGGGGGCAGGGGGCTAGGATTCCAGGCAGCAGCCGGCAGAACACACTCCGCCATGTCAGCACTGAACAGGGAGCCCTGGAGGAGACCAAGAAAGGGAAACGTATGAGAAGGATCCTGACCACTACTGTAGCCTCTTCAGAGCACCAAGGAACAGGAACCACACGCCCCCCCCCGCCCCAGGTAACCACCATCTCACAGCCCAGGCTGGACTGTTCACCCAGCTAATTAGCCAAACCCCTAATGGAAAATTCAAGAACCACAGAATGTAAGCACTAGGAGGACCCTTAGAATAGGGAATGTCAGAGCTGGGAGGGCCCTTAGAACAAGGTATGCCAGGGCTGGGAACAATCTCAGAACATAAGAATAATGGAGTTAGAAGGAAGGTTAGATCATAGCATGTTGGCAGATAGAACCACAGTGCAGTTAGGGAGATGGAATTTAGCACAGCCGACCTGGAAGGCTGGAAGGCGTGATGTGCACGCAATCATCTGTCCTTAAGGGAAGCACCCACCCCATCCCTCCAATGCCTGCCCTCCTGCCCTCTTTCCCAACCATCCGCTCTGCTTTCCAGGGGCCTGTCCTTCCGGGGATCCGTGGTCTGAAGGAGCAGATGACGAAACTAAAACTGAGAGAATTGACTTGCCCAGGGTCAAGTCTCAGAGGCAAGATTTGAACTCGAGTCTTCCTGACTTCAGGTCCAACGCTCTCTACTGATGAGCCACTTCTAACCCAAGAACAAGACAGAAGAAAGTCTGCACACTTCCTCCCCCTACAAACACACTTCTCTCCCCATCTGCCCACCCATTTCTCACACCCACATTCCATCCTCCTTGCCCATTCACCAGCCCTGCACTGCTCCTGCCCCTGCATACTCCCCATTCCCTCACCAGGCCCCCTAGCTCCCCAGCCCTCTGTTTTTCCCAGACACACAGCCAGTAACACCCCCATATTTAGCCCTACACACACATACACACACACACACACACACATATTTGCCCTCATAATACATATTGGTCACACACACACTCATTTGCCCTCATGATACACATTGGCTTCATGTGCACACACACACACACACACACATACAAACACACACATATTTGCCCTCATAATACATATTGGTCACACACA